AAGAACGTTCAGAAGTCCCGGCAGAGGAGGTGACCGATATTTGGGAGTGCGTTATGGATGTGACATGATGTAGCAATTTATCTTTTGGGGATCTGGTGGAATGTCATTTTGTACAGAGTTGAATGATGCCTGGCACTTTGTATAAATTACTTTTGAAGGGGGATACCCACAGAGGCTTTTACCTTTTAGATCCTTTTAGATGCAATTTTATTTGCTGTAACCTGCTGGTGAGAGTGTAGAAGCAAACAGGTTGTTGTGTTGTACAAATGAAAGGCGCTGCGCTCATGAGTGTGTCGCTTTGTTGGTCCTCCTGACAGGATGACAAGCGCACAGAATCTGTTGATGGTCTGCACCAGAACGGGGAGGACACTTGAGGAAATTGACTCTTCTCCTGTGGCTGATCATTTTGTACAGAGTGGATTGAATCGACACACGTTGTATCGCATCCTGCGCTTTGAACCCTTTGCTTATCTTTGCTTTTATTTTCATTGCTGCTAACCTCAGGCTATAGAAGGAATCAGGTCGTTCATGCTTACAAAATGGAAGGTGTTACGCACATGAGTTTTTCAGTCAATTCATCCAGCAGAGAGGATAGTCATCAAATGAGTCTCACAATCTCACATTTGGAATTGGTGGATTTGCATTTTGTACAGGCTTGCACATTGCATTTCATTTTGTATTGGGCCGCAGTCGTTTTGACGGTTTTGTAGTCCCAGAAACGTCGAGTCGTGACCAACCCGCCACCTGCGGCATGTCGTTTCGTGGACAAGTTCTTTTTCTGTGCCTTTGTGTAGTTGTTGGCCAGTGTGCTCGGCACATGCCTTCTGGCTTTAGCCAGACCCCAGAAATCTCGCCCCTTGTCCGCTCATTCGGGCATAATTAGTCTTGGATGGTCTTGGACTGTTTGACATTCTACAATTTCAATGCCTTGCCAGCACGTACTTAGGTGGTTTCAGGCCGAGGATCATCAGCGAACCTTGGAGCGCTGGGGTCTTGGCCTGGGGATTGGGCAGCCCGCTGATGGACCCCTTCTTTTGGATATGTTTGGAGCTGTGCCTATGGTATCAAGAGCTTGGGCGAGTGCGGGGTTTCGCATAAGCTCCTTTAGTTTTAGGCAGTGCAGCGATCATGATATATGTTCTGAAGTTGGGTTCCGCAGGCTTTTGGAGAGTGGCTTGCGGCTACTTGCCCCACGCGAAGACAAATTTTGATAGTGAGTAAGTATATTGTTTGTGCATACTAATTATGTATATCTATGTATCTATAATTATCTTTATATAGAATTCTACAGACGTTTTTTGTTTGAGTTGGGATCAACTTGTGTGGATCTCTCGCGCAGCCAAGGTTGGCTCGTCAAGCTGCTGTGGTCATTTCACCGCCAAGTCTCTGTTGGAACCGAGATGACCCGGAAGATGTAGAGAGAAACAACTCCCAAAAGAGACTTGCTCTCCGCATTTGGGTCAATATTGCCATTTGGATTCAATTGGCATCGATGGGTCATCCGACAGGACACACCAAGACTATCCAATACTATCCAATATTTTTTCCCATGGCTTGCATTTCTGCTGTTGTATCGTAAGATATCGTAAGCCAAGGGGATCTTTATTCGTGTCCTCTACAGAATCCGTGGAGATCTATTCTTTGTGATAGAGCAGCCGGCCCAATCCTGGGCTTTTCAACAGCCTCACTGGCGTTCTGTAGTGCGCTTTTTGGGCCTGCGTCTTGGCTGAAACAAAAATAAAGCACTACAAAATGAATGACTGCACATTGTGTCAACAAAAAGCTGGGTCTTGACAGGGCGACAACTACAACTTTCTTGCGCTTGTTCGATCGCGACGAAGACAGACCTACACGTATTCAGTCAAACATAAGGCCGGCCACGACATGAATGAAACATGGTGAAACAATGTGAAATGATGTGAAACGTGTTTCTTATTGTAGAGTACTGTGGTATGTATTTGTTTGGACAGGCCACTTCAAAGGCTGCTTCGGAGGCTTACACAAAGTTCATCTGACGATGACAATGACACAGACACAGTCAAGGTTCAGAAGAAGCACCAGACTAGTCAACGCAAAAGAGCTGTGAAGAAGGCCTGTGTGTGCAATGTTTCCATTTATGTGCCCATATAGGTAGCAAATCTGAGAGTGTCTGTAATAATATCAGGTGACCAATCATTTTGTAAGGAATGATGGCAACAATATTGTGTTTTAAACAAACTTAAAAAAATAAACATACTACAAAATGATGGTGTGTGCCTTGCTTGATGTCTCTGTTTCCTTCTTTTCCCCGGGGTGGGACGGATGCCGTTTGGGGCAAGTCTGCGTGTTGGACTTGGCAGGAAATCCGCAAGCTACGTCTGCAGCGCCATGGTGCTGTTGGATGGCGGGCTGTCGATCGCTTCGCCCCATCGGCGTACACAAACAAGTTTTGCTTGCAGCTTTTGCATTGCTGGTTGGCTGTCCGGAACTGATGGTGGAAAGCGCAGCAGTGGCCTTTCTTTCCATGTCCTTCCATGCTCATTAGCATGATGAATGATCCTTCGATGTTCTTGTGGGTTGGATTGCTTTGAACTGGGAGTCAGCAGAGATTCTCACACTGGGGGTGTGGACAGCGTGCGAGAGGGAAGAAAAGGGAAACACAGACGGAATGAAACGGATGTAGGAACATGTAGGAAATTCGTGGCTAGCTGCTAGCTGAGACTGCCTGTGGTTTGCCGCCATGCTAAACTGGAAGGACCCGCTAGCAGCTGCGGCTAACTATCAGGGAACTGGGAATCTTGGATACACTATGATACACCAATGATCGCTAATGGATGCTAGTGGCTATTGAATTCTAATGAATGCTAATGAAAGCGAACGAGTTTGTGTATGTTTTGCTCAGTAGGTCTGTGTAAATGGCCGAGGAGCTTTGCGGTTGACTTTCCGATGCTTGATGAAGCGATGAAAAACCTCAAGAGGTTGTCAGGCTGCCAGTTTCTTGCTAAAATGCAAGACAACATAAACGCAAACATACGCAATCCAAAAAGAGTGCGGTATAGTGCGGTTATTTAACACACTCCGATACGATCACTGTTCCAGGAGAAACCATGAAGAATTCTGCTGAGTCTCTTTTGAAAAGAGAAAGGAAATCCACATTGGAGAACGTCGCTCTTCCAGGTCTTTTTTTCCGTTGCATCTTCATTGACCTTCATTGTGTTTCATAGTTGTTTCCCTGGCTCCTGTCATTTTGTAGTGATCTCTGCACCTTCAGGGAAAAGAAAGGCAGAGCATCCAGCACCTTTAGAGAAAGCCAAAGCAGAACGAAGGGTCAAAGTTGAGCCAGTTGCAGGCCACTTTCGTAAGTTTCTTTCTCATTATGGAACTCATTATGGGCCCAAGCATACGGCCAATCATTTTGTAGTGGCCTGCTGATGCTCAGGGAAGAAATTACAGAAGACATCCTCTGAAAGCTCTTCCACCAACAAAGGACACTGCACTCAGGGCTCGAACCTCTGAAAATTTTCATTGTTACTGCAATGGCCTAGCAATTTGTAAAGTGAATGTTGTCAAGAATAGTGAAGCATTTTTTAGGTTTATGAACGTCTTCAGCTTCCTTCTTCAGGAATTGTGAAGCAGAGCAATGTCAAGGTGAAAAGAATGAAGTTCGAAGACACAACAGGTGTTGTTCTATTGTCATCTATTGTCGTTCCCTTGCATTATATTATGGCTGGATATTTATAGAGAGTGGTTTTGGTTGTGCCCTGGAATTTTGTAGTGGCTAGCATGCAACGTCAGGGACCGAAGAAAACACCTACCTTGCGAAGCCAGTGGATGAATTGATGGCGATGCTGATGGCTTCCTGGCATTGGATCCAGAACAACAATTAACCCCAAATTATATACATCAAATTATATACAATTTTTTCTTGTTCATATCCAAAATTCTCAACCCACTTGAACTACGTCGGCCTCCCCCTTTCCTACGGACAATGTGTTCAGGAGCCTGGCTTCTACTTGAGCTTGCTTGATATTGCCCTTTGGGCAGGGGGAAAAAACAAGTACATCAAGTTCCTGGCGCATGATTTGGACTTCAACGGGGAGCAAGGCCAAATTCAATCAGCGCATTCACTGTTCCAGAGCTATCTCCCGGACGTGGATGTGGAAGAACATCCTGGTTCTGATGATCTATCAAATGTGTGGTTCGTGATTGCTTGTGGTGCGGACTATGTCCAAAGACCCTTGCTGGAGTTGAACCATTGGGTCTCAGCATGGCACAAGGATCAAATCAAAGGAAACTTTGAGGAGCTTTGCCAAAAGACAAGGCAAAAGTTTGCGGAGAGGAGGTCAGCTTGCAAGAAAGCCATTGATGCGTTCACGGAGAGTCAAGCTGAGGTTGAAGACGGAGATGACCAGAAACCGGATATGTTGTCAAACTATTTGTCTTTGTCAGAGGAAATTGACAGAAAAGAACAAGCCTTTGAGGCATTCTTGGAGTGTGGCCTCTTCGCTCCAGATGTTCCTGCAGACGGAGATTGCGGGGTCTGGACTTTACATTCGCTACGTACCAATGCTTATGAATCTCTGGCTAACCGCAAAGCGCCCGGAAGCATTTCAGATGTGCGCAAGATCCGCAAAGAAGCTTGTCTAAGACTAAGTCCGAGCGCGTATTAGGTTACATTGGGTTACAACTTCTCCTTGTCCTTCACTACAAAATGAGTGGACACAAGTAACATTGAAATACATATTTGCGGTATACTGGGCTATACACTTACTGTATGGAATACAAGGGTTACATTGGGTTACAAGGGCAGTTAACTTCTCCTTTTCCTTCACTACAAAATGAGTGTATACAAGTAACAATGACAAATATATGCGGAATACTGGGCTATACACTTATGGATACTTATGGCTTCTCATGGCTAAAACTAGGCAGCCTATAAAATGAGAGGATATGAGAGGACACTTCTTTGATTTCATTCCGTTCAGGAATTGGCCATGCTGTGGCAGCTACGCTCCAGAGATGTAGCGTGGCAGGATTTGTTCTCGGCCTTTCAGTTGCAAGATTTGGTACCTCTTGGAGTGTGGCAGCTAGCAGAGCAATACTTGCAAGATCCAGAGTCCATGGAAGTCAGCTTTGAGGAAGCTTTGGCGTCTGTCATGCAGCCTGATCAAGGCAAAGCATGCACGCCCAAGAAGAAAGGACCTGTAGCAGTGAACTTCTCTCCTCCGAAGCACGCTGATGCCAAGAAAAAGGCACGGAAAACCATCCAGGATTGTCGCGGGGTGGAATTTGGGAAGGCTCCACAGGCGGAGACAAAGCTCAAGTCCAAGCAACAGGATGCAAAGCAAAAGGAAGCAGACAAAGCATTGCAACTACTGGAAGGAGAAGGAGAGGTGACTCAGACTCAGGCAGGGATTGTAACAGGGGGAAGGGTCGGGAGGTCAGGGAACTAAGAACTTTTGCCCGAGGGTGGTCATGAAATGAAGTGTCTAGTGTCTTAATAAGGATGCTTCATTATTATATAAACGAATGTATCATTGTGTATCTTTGGTTTTAGATTTCCCAGACTCGAGCGGCGTCAGGGTGATGCAAATATCAAGCGGAAGCGCCACAATCGCAGTTGCAGAAAGAAGGATCTATCCACTTCAGCTGCCAAGACTGAAGCTTTGCGTGCGTACTTCAGCCATATTGGTGCGTCATATACATCCTTCCAGATCATCCATTCGAGGCACAGGGTAGTTCAGGGTCATACAAGATTAAAGAGAATAGTTTTCTACATTGCCCCACGGTTTCCTACAAAATGATACGCAAGCAATAATTGGATACAAAATGGAAGATCCTTGGACAATGTTAGATTTATCAAGGATTTGTTTGAAAAAATAGACAATACTAGGAATTATCTATATGAGTGATATATGCATCATGTTTCCAGCAGCAAAAGCTTTAGGATGCCTTAGGAATAACCTGTGGTTGCAGGAATGCTTTCTACAAAGTGCTAGGCCCTTAGATCAATATCACCACAATGAGCCAGGAACAAACAAAAAACAAACCCCGCGTGAGAAAACAAGAAGCTTTGTTCAAGGCCCCTAAAGGTCATCAAGAAGCCCTTTGTTTTGTAGAAAGAGCCATCAAATTCCTTTCCAGGAAGCCGTTCATTTTGTAGAAACGTTGGGAGGCACGCGCCCATCAGGCGGGTCAACAGGTGTCAGATCGGTGGCTATGTCAAGCTACAGCAATTCCTACTCTCTGGAGACCCAATCAAGTGTGCTGCTTGTGAGGAGATGTTGAGCGTGCGCCATTTTGATGCTTCTATGCTTCAATCTGTGACCGACCACTTTGTAAGCGGAGGTTCTAGTGTCGAGACCTTTTTGTGCCAGCTAGAGAAGGCACCAAAGCCATCAGATGCAGATGATTCAGATTTACTAGAGGTTCCACCAACGGCTGAAGAGACTCCAAAGGCTCAACAAGCGGGAAAGGATCCAAAGGATGCACAGGATCCAGCTGAGCAAAGTCTTGAGGAAGATCTTTCGGATGATGAAGAAAATCCTGGTGAAGATCCATTTGCGTGGGCCAGAACCCTGTATCCCACGATCTCTTTGCTTCCTCCCGGCTCTCACGGGAAGCGCCTTCCGTACAGGTGCAACCTTTGCAAGACACGCACATGGCCACAAGGCAAGGTAGGGGAACTGAGTAAGCCGAAGAAGAAAAGCATCAAGCATTTCATCAAGCAGCACCTGAAGTCAAGTGCTCATCAGCGTCGCGTGCGGGAAATGCACAAGCTAGAAGCTCCTCCTGTCCCTGACCGACAGCTTGTTCCATGCGAAGGGCTTGGGGTTGATGACCCTCAAGTTAGTGGAGCTTTGCTCAAGTACTCCCGCGAGTTCTCCATTTGGGCCCCGATGACTAGCTCCAAGTTTCAGAAGAATATCTACTACAAGGATGACTCTGGAGGTTGGTGCTGTAGGGCAAGCAACTGTTCTGAAATGTGTCAGAGGGTTGCAACAAGGGAGCGGCAGGTCTGTGAGGAATGTTTGAAGTTGGGCAGTGGCCACGGAGTGGTCAGGACACTTCGCCGCTTTGCCATGAAGTACTACGCGGCAAAGTTGCTCAATGCCAGGGTTTTCCTTGGACACGAAGAGACCCGGGCAGTCCAAGACGAAATCACATCCAGCCAGCTGCACATTGACAACAAGCAGAACGTGAACAAGTTGATGACGTTGAAAACCTGTGAGCTTCAACAATTTGTTCGCCATTGCTTTCTTTCTGCCAATGAAAATTGTAAGAATGAAGTTTTCGACTCCTTTGTCGCAACAGTGGTGAAACCTGCGCTGCGCTGCGCCACAGAGAACATTCCGGAGACGTTGATGGAAGTTGCGTCAAGGTTCAGTGTGTGCTTGTCTTCAGGGGAGGCATCTGAACAAGATTTGCTCAACATGAAATTGGCAGCTGCATCACTTTCCGGAAAGCTCGAGGCACATCCTTTGATCCAGGGCCTTTCCCTTCAGGTTTATCGCAGGATGGAGCAGCGAGAACGTGGAGTGGAGGAAGGACGAGGACGTCGGTCACACGAAACAGAGTTGGAAAAGAGTCTGATAGCAGAAGCAGGAATCCAACTAGCTGCAGCCGCTGGCAATCCTTCTTTGGTGAAACTCTTTGGGATGTCGACCAAGAATGTCAGCCTGAACCTGGACCAACTCCATTCAATGTCCTTACCACGTCCGGCTTTGGCCATGAAGTATCCGGAGGTCCTCAAGGAGAACTTCAATCTCATCAACCAAAGGTTTCTTCCTGCCCCACAAGCTTCCAAGCGTGCCAAGGATTTGATGTACCTTTTTGATCCTTTTTGTTTTACATAGTGGTCGGACTTTCAACATTTGGTACAAAATGTGTGGAGATAAGCGACTTCGTTGTGCATATCATTGGTTTGGCGTCTACGCTGCTACAATTGTAAGGATTGATGTGAAACCTTTCATTTTGTAAGGTTAAACGATGGAAACTGGCATTTTGTAGAGACGATGAACTGTAAGGCCGTTTGCTGATGGCCTTTGACGCCACGTATCTCATTCCCACGATATCCCAGCTCATCATTGGAGGTGTTCAAGGACTTGTTGGAGGTACTTGGTCACCGTTCATTGAGTCCAGTGGCTTTGTGGAGCTCACTGATGATGTGGATGTTGCCAAAATCAACCGTGCATCTACAATGCTGGAATTCCTCTGCTGGGATCCAACATCATCGAAAAGATACGCGCTGAGTGTAGCATCAGCTCCAATAGAGCATCAGTTTGGGGGACCTGGTGCGAGCATGCGTGGCAGTTGGTACTTCATGGAAGTGGTGGGCAGGGTGCTTGAGGCATCTGAGGCGGAAGGCGTCATCAAGGGCATCGTGTTTGACGCCTATACATCCCACAACCTTATCAGGAGGGTGATGCACGGACAGTTGCAAGGCATTGACAACGAGAGCCTCAAAAGCGTGCCATGGTTTAGCAAGCTCACGTACGAGCCCTTGCCAGAATCCACGCTTCCGAACCCGCCCATCGCGGTGGCCAAGTATGAGGGCCAGGTTGTCCACGCATTTTGTGGACCGTGTGGCTTGGTTCAATTGAAACCTGTTGAAGTCACAGAAATCAAATGTGTGCGGTCAGACATTTTGTAGTGGATCTTTCGGTGCAAATCTGTTAGAATTCCGAATTCGAAACAACCTAGACTGGAAAAGTCTTTCCATTTTGTAAGAAATCAGGGTTCTTTGGGCCGCTCTGCATTTGTTAGTTTCTACCGTGTGTTCTGTCATTTTGTAAAGGTATATGCTAGCAGCACTTCCCAAGGTCACGCTGCAAAGAACACATCGGGGCAATTGAACTCATGCCTTCGTTGTGTTTACTGGGGCAGGTTTTGGTCAGACACAACTGGCATGAGGGAGCACTCGCTCCCCCCGTCTGCTTACAGTCGGGAACAACCTATGTCAGACCGTTTGAACGCCATTTTGATGAATCCGTTCTATCTGACACCAGATGCAGCGCTACAGATTTGATGAGCAACCCTTTTCTATCCTTTTCTGTTATATATTGTTATATTCATTTATATTCTTTTGTTCTTTTCCCATACCTGACCTGATCCTTTCATTTTGTAGGCTCCATTGATGTGCTCCGTGTTTCTGTAGTGCCATCACCCTTTGCAAGGCTGTGCCAATGGCATCCTTGAAAGTCTTGTGGTGTTTGAAGGGCGCGCTGATGACCAACCTTGTGACAGCCTTGTGCCTGTCCCCAGGGCTGCACGGGGACATGAGCCTGGCACATCGATGCGAAAACGCCCTCACAGGCCATCTTTGTTTGGACCTGTTCTCTTTGCTAGCTGATGACATCTGTCAGCAAATGAAGCTGCCTCGAGGTTCAACATTTCTAGCGCCGCAGACTGTGAGCTCGCTGCAAAGTTGCGCCCTCAACACGGCACTCTTGTGCTTCACAAAGGACACTGGCTTCAGCCCGTGGAGCAAAGGTGCTGGATCTCTTTGTGAGCTACCTATAGAGCATTTCTTTGGGCGACTTCGTTGTCAGCAAGCCAACGCTCAGCTGACCAGTCGGCAGTTTTTGCATGCTGGAGCACGAGACGCCTGCCAAATGTCAAAGAAGCTCAACAGTCGGCGCAAGATGGACCATGGTCACCCTGAAACGTGCTTGTCCGAGAGCGAGTTTCTAGCCATATGGCTACGGCCAAAAACATAAGGCTTGGATCACACACCCAAACCCACACACGATCCATACCTCGATCCATGGGGTATGGATCAAAAGGTGGGTGTGTGATCCAAGCCCTTGGATCACACAACCACCACCACCACTACTACAACCACCTCTGCTGCCACCACTGCTACTGCCACTGCACTTGCCACCTGCTGCTACTACTGCAACAGCTTTACTGTTGCTGCTACTGCTACTCACTACTATCAGCAGTATGACCACCACCACAGATTTAGCGGAAGCCACTAGACTCAACTTCAAATTGACTTCCCATTCCAGCCAAAATTAATTACCGGAAGCCACTAAGTGTGGTCACAGCCGGGACTCGAACCACCACTACTACAAACCACTACTACAACCACCTCTGCTGCCACCACTCCTTCTGCTACTGCTGCTGCTGCTACTCACCACTATCACCAGTATTACCACCAGACTCAACTTCGAATTGACTTCCCATTCCAGCCAAAAATTAATTACCGGAAGCCACTAAACGTGCTGACAGCCGGGACTCGAACCCTTACACTGTGGAAGTGAAATATTGGAGACCGACGCTTTTACCATTAGGCTATGTAACCCTTTGAGGGGAGGAGCCAACCCAACTAAGCCATATTAAATAAGGTGCCAGAATGCGCTAGACCACAATATTAAGGCCAAACAGAATTAGCGGCAGCCACTAAATCAGTTTTCGGACTGCGCCTCCAATCTAGAGCTGAAGCCACCACCTGTTAAATGTCTTGAAAGCCCACTGAGTCACCAATATGCGCGGCCAGCTGATTGCCCAATATGTGGACAGTGGAGCCCAAATTCACAGCGGCCAGAACTTCAAAGCAGGCTTGCCGCAAACAGGATGGCTTTGATCTGGGAAGCCACCACCTTCACAGTGAATTGGTGAGAAAGTGGTGGGGTGAAGCGCCACCATGCAGATGTGTTCATGTTGGGGGCTTGGATCAAGTGACTTGTCGGTTTGATCCATAGGGCTTGGATCAGCGCTCTGATCCATAGGGTTTGGATCACTCTCACTGCAGCGCGGAACGATCCATACCAGGGTTTCTGGCCACACCCATATCAATGCATATATACAATATATAAGGATATATAAGGATAATTTTTAACAATAGTGTACTATATATATTATTATGACATCTTTTGTGAGTGTTATTGAGTATTTTTTAGTGTTTGACTCATTGTCAGTCTCGTTGGGCAGCCTGGCGCCCACAATGAGGTTCAAGAAGTGCGGCTCCAATGCGTTGGAATCTTCCTTGGTTTTGGCATCCTTCTGTGCAGGTGTGGACTCAAAGTACCTGGAAAAGGCCTATCGAAACGCCTGTGAGACGGGAGTGTTTGCCGTGACGCCAGAGCAGGAAGAACAGGCGGTTGAGGAAGATGATGAACACGTGGACCGCCAGAACGAATGTGCTGACTTCTTGGAAGCATTGCATTGCGAGACAAAAACTCTCAGAACTCCTTTTGATGAAGAAGAGACCAACAACAAAGCCGCTGCTGGTGCGGCTGAGAGGGAGGATGATTTGGCTGATGTTCCTGACAAGGAGAATGTAGAGAAGGTCTTGGATGCCAGTGATGCTTGCCAGCCATTTCGGACCGATGTGTCTCCCAACTCCAAGGACAGAAATGATCCGAATTACCTGCCGAAAACTCTGCAGGATGCGCTTCGCATACGGGGAGACAAGTGGAACGCTCTGCTCAGGCTTTGCATCAAGCTTCGAACAGGCAAAGGCGGCTGTGACACAATGTGGATCAAAAACCATGTCAGTGCGCGGCATGCGTCAAGGTCCCTAAACTGGCATCAGCATCTGGACGTAACATCCTTTCATTTTGTAAGGCTTAGTCGGCTTAGTATGTTTTAGTATGGCTTAGTTAGTCGGCTTAGTATGTTTTACAGTAGTATGTTTCAATATGTTTGACTTTGTTTGAATACTATTTATTTTTCGATGTGATAGGCCTTTTGTTCTTTCATTTTGTAGCGGTTGACTTTCCCTCCTTCCTGTGTACTTCAATTCTGTAGATACGCTTACTGTAGTTGACAGTCGCTCTCAAAGTGGTAAATTAATGACCGTGTTTCATTTTGTAAAGGCTTTGGATGGCTTTGGCTAAAAGGAATAATTTGCTCGTGCGTGTTGCGGCCAAGGTACAATGAACGTATAATTGCGCAGGCAACCGCCGAAAAGGAGGACCCGCAGTATCGCTCTCGTGCCGGAAGACTAGACAAGTGGAAGCAGCTAGTGCAGGATGCCCAGAAAGACTTGCAGCTTCTAATCGCAGCCCCAGATGCTATGAAGTTGCTGGGTCATATTCCCACATCGTGTCCTATTTTGTTGTTGCTGGCAGGGTAGGGGGTATTTGCTTTTGAAGCCATTCATTTTGTAGGGTCCACTGCGCAATTGTTTCCGAGGCCGGGAAAGGTCATCTTGTTCCTGAAGCCGGGACGAGATAAGGAATTTGAAGTGGGGTTTGTGCTCAGCCAATGGAAGGGAGTGAAAGCGCCCAAGCTTTGCTCCTCAGAATTGAGGATCAACAGCGTGGTCGCACTGCGTGTTCTCGTTTTGGAACCTTTGACACAAGATGAGGACAGACAGTGGAACCCTGTTGAACAGTTAAATATAGTTAAATCATTTTAAACATGTTTGAATCAATATCTAAACGCACGATAAAACATCCCGGTTGAGATTTCATAGGTGACGATGTGGCCCACATTTTGTAGACACAAATTTTCGGGACACAGGGTGGTCTTTACAAAATGGAGGGCTATAATTGCAAAACATAATGGGCGCCCGGGCATTTGTTTACTCTCAAGTTGCAAGCAGAACATTAAAAACAGACCAACATGGCACTAGAATCCACTACAGATTGTTGGACCCTGGTGTTTCCAGACTCATAGACCCGCGGCCAGGCCCTTTGGTGGTATTGCAACGATCGCTCAGAAGCATGGACTGTCCGCTTGGAGTCGCTAGTCGCCATCCTGGACGTGGACAAGAGTGAGCTACCTGCAAGACAGAGGAATGTGCAAATATATGCATATAGATGCAAATATCAACCAAATTCAATTATATATATGATATGTGTTGTATATGTTTGGAATGCTAAGACAGTGGAGAGTAGATATTCTTAGATAATGTTAGATATATGTAACATTTTTATATATGAACGATTAGGATGTATGTGAATGTAGACTATGGATGTAGGTGCATGCGAAAAGCTGAGGTGAGACTCCAAGAGACGACACAGGCATGATGAAGATCAAGCTTTCCGATGAGAGCGCTGATGCCTTGAGCCGTGTGGGAGACATCACGGCCTGGGGCAGCGAGCCCACGATGAAGAGGGGAGCAAAAGTTAGTGCGTTGAATCGGTCTCAGGCAGCAGCGCCAGTGGCACCATCACTTTCCCGAAAAGCAGTCTCAGAGATGTTCAAGCAAGGAAAAAAGAAGGTGGAGAAAGCGGAGGCCAAGCTCTTGAACATGGATGAGTTGCAGCCCCAGGACTTCATCAGGAACAAGCACGGTCGTGAGGTTGTTCAGCAGGTGCTCCGACAGCTTCGTGCAAGCGATGAGGCAGCATTTGGTGATTGCCCTGCTTTTGATTCCGATGGCAAGTGCAGATTGAAGTATGGACCAGCACAAGGGCTTGAATGGGAGAAGATGGTGCTTTCCGCGCCAACTTGCTTTGACTACATGTGGCTTGGACTGCAGTTGCGTGTCAGCTGTTACAAAAATGAGGGCCGCTGTGCATTTCTTACAAAAAGATCGGTTTGAATGTGTTGCCTTTTGGTGCTCTTTTAAGGTTATGCATTGTCCTGAAACAAATTCAAATACGGTACTGTAGTCATTTACATGTTCACATATGTTCACCTTTTTTCTACAAAGAAAAAGGTGTTGGCACAGTTCTTACAGAAATAGCGGACGTGAAAAGAGATCCAAGTCAACAGGTATGCAAGCCGCCGTGCACCTCATTCCTTTGGTTCAGCAGTGAAGAAGCACTTGGAGACAGTGATGACGCAGCTGACAGAGAACAAGCGGCAGGCATACTTACGTCTTTTGAAGGAACTGGCAGATTTTATTTGTACGTCTGAAACTGGTGGGCAAATTGTCCAAGGCCAGTGATTTTGTAGCGGTTGGGTTCCGATAGTGGCCCCGATTTGCTGGAGAGCACAAGCAGATACAATTAGCGTTTGCATGCGTTGGCGGTTATTAAAGTTAGAGGCTAGAAGGTCAACATCCTGTCACTCTGTACACAAACGTGGGTGAACATACAATTTGTATCAATTTGTATCATGTTGTTGAGTTTTGTAACGCTGTAGTAGCAGCAGGCAGAGTCAGCAGTGCTTTTGCTCCAGCATATGCGCATTAATTCAGCCTTTAGATTAATTTAGAGATTAGACCTGGTGTCTAGTGAATGAGCTTTGAGATGCATTTAGAGGATTCCAGCACCAGTGTACATACAGAAGTCTCAGGTGTCACCATCGAAAATCAAAAGTTCTGATTTTTGTTCAATTTCAAACCATGGTCCAACATTTTGTAGTCATGTGTTGCAGACTCAAGGCCAACCATACTGTAGACGGTGGTGAGCTTGAGCACACCTTTGCTGTGCATGTCTTTAAGTCCGTGGGATAGTGAGCTATCCCGCCTGGCCCATGGCATAGGGGATTGGCCATTGACATCACGTCACTAGCGTCCATTTGCACTAAACTGACCCGAGAGTGTGCTTGTGCAGTAGGAAAACAGGAGCATCCTTTCATTTTGTAGAAAGAGATGCAAAGACCATGTTTGTGCGGATTCTAGCTGGTGGAGAGGAGGTTTACGTGCTAGCTCATTGTGCAGTAGGAAAAGAGGAGCATCCTTTCATTTTGTAGAAAGAGATGCAATGCTAGCTGGTGGAGACGAGGTTTGCACGCTAGCTCAGCTCATTTGCTCAGAGTGCCTGTGCCCTCAGACTTTGTTCTAATCCGGGGAAGCATGGATTGGACTTTTGGTCTCCTGGTGGCTTTCGCAGTCATTGGGGTCGTGTGGGCTTTGGGCAAAGCATGCCGTGGCATCGCTTGGATTATGAAAGCAGCCCTTGCAGAAGTGAGAGAGGAGAAGCCTGTGCATTCAGATGCGACACCTCCGAGGACACCAAAGGAAGACCCCTCTAAACCAGTCGCTTTCTTGCAGAGATTGCCATCCCGGCAGATGTTGGCATTGACGCTGCCACCAGAAGTGTTTATTTGTAGTAACAGTGACGTTTTTCATGTCAACTGTCATCACCTTGAACGGTCAAAAGTGTCGTTCTGCAGGTATCGGCTTTGCAAGGAATGCAAAGCCAAAGGCCACTAAGTACAGTTAAATGTGGTGGCTGTCCATGTATAGCGAACTTTCGTGTCAGCGTCGTGAGAAACGAGTGCAGCCTACATGAAACATTACCCAGAACTTCCAACGTCGAAGTTTAGCTTAGCCAAAGAGAAACGTCAAAGATCATCAAAGCTAAACTTGTACACCTCAGCGCATCTAAGTTTTACTCATGTTAGTTGTCTTAGACGGAACAGACTCCGCAGAACGACAAAGTTTAACCTATCATTTTGTAGAACAATAAGGCCTCCCAAAAATGATCTTTCAGGGACGTCCATCAAACAGAACAAATGGCAAAGGTAAGCGGGTCTGGATTATGAAAAGATAATAAAAGAAATGAAAAAGAGCTGTCATTTTGTAGAGCCAGGGCACTCTCAACAAAGGACTGTCATTTTGTAGAGCCAGGGCACTCTCAACAATAAGGGACTACCGTTCTATAGAATCTCCGGACAACGCAGGCTGCACAATGCTTCAACCCAA